TCTGTTGTTGAAACACAAATTGTTGATCCAATTGAATACTCAGGAGACAAAGATGACTTGACAATGAAAGAAATGTTGTCTCTACTTGTCTTGTTGCCTCTCTAATTTTCCCTTAATGATTCTAAGGAGTTTTCAGAGGTGCAAGCTGCTACACCTTGTGATCCCACGCATTTGCCTTCCATATCCTGTAATTGTCTTCCACATTCCCAACATCCCTAAGAGCCTATTATCCTTGATCCTCCTATTAAAGTGTCCTTTCAACTTGGTAATTTTCATGGTCAACACTTCACCAGATTTATTGCACATGTCCCCTTGACCCATTCCCTATCTCAAGAAATATGAACCTACTGTTGTATATCTTTTTGATGTATGTAAGCACATGAATATTGATCATGTTCTCAGAGTTGGGAACATTTCACTTTGTCAAGGTTTATTGGAGCCTCTTGTGTTGTTTCTCATATTTCTCACCTTGTCAGGGTGAGATTGCAGCCATATGGGAAATCAATGTTATTGCCACCTCTAAAGGCAATTTCCAAGATTTTCTTGTTGAGTGGAAAGGTCATCCCAAGTCTGCTCTTGTTTGGATCGGTGAAGGTTTGTTGCACACCTTGAATCCCAAACTGTTAGCTGGCCATTTGCATTTTAACTCATCGGAGTTGAGTTATTTGCCAGTTGAGCAGAATGATTCATGAGTCTCTAAGCCTAATTAAGAAGGCTGACTATAAAATATGTTTTAAGGTAGATTTGTTTCTACTTTTCTACTTGGGAAATAGAAATTTTTAAGATTTGAGTTATTTAATTTTTCCAAACTTTGAAATTTTTGATTTATTTTCCTATTAGTAGCTTTTCTTTTTAGTAAAGGTCAAAAAGTTTGCTAAGCAACTTTTGGGAATATTGGAATTGATAATTTCCTTGTGAATTTATTTACATTTCTATGCAGTATTTTTCTTTTGTCCCTTATTTTTTGTCTGCTTAATGGTCTTCTTTTCTTCCTTCATCTGTCTTTTATTCTGACATTCTCTTCTCCATAATTTCCCCTATTTCTCTATATTATAGGATAATTATGGTTCTATCATTAGTTATCCTATATCAGATAAGGCAAGTGAAAAAAATAATTAACACTCCATGAAAATCTCTGTTTGAGTGAAATTCCTTTTTTACAGAGAGGAAATCATTCCTAACTGCTTCCTCTATTAATAAACATGAATGCATATTTAACTGACATTTCAAGAATGAATAGTATAGATAATGCGTCGTATTCTTATCCAGCATTTTCTCTGTGGCAGTTCATGACA